ACAAGGACCTTTCGGTTTCCGGATCCACAGGGGAACCGACTAATCCGGAATCGAGCCGGGTAGGACCACAAGGGCGGCAAAGCTCTCCAGCCCTCAAGAGTTTTAACACTGCTGGCTGCATTCCCAGGACTCGAACACGAGACCACTGATTAAGCTGGAAGAGACCCAAGTCATCTCATCCAAGCGATCTTGGGTCTCAAATATGTTATATGAATACATGTCATAACGTTTTGTCAAATCTTAATTTTTACAAAAGAAATACCATTAGTCATATTATTTTTAGTTTTCTAAGTTCTTTCCAAATTCTATACACGATGGAATTGTTGCATTACTTTATACGAAATCTAAATATACCACACATACTATATCATTAACTCTCCTAGCCGATTATAATCACTCATGCTATACATAATACTTATGTAGTTATTAGAACTAATTAAGCAACTGGCATTATTATAAATTACAGCATTAGTTGATAATTTTAATTAAGATGAAAACAGATATTTAATTATTAACCAAGAAGTAATAGAGCGTTTAAATTTTTTCTTAGTCGCTTATGTTATTACGACCACTTTTACCGATATAACAAACTTGAAATTTAGTTTAAGATTATATTACACATACACAAGCTTTAAAATATGATATTTTAGTATCAAAATATTTACCTCAGTTAAAAAGCTCAAGAGTTGAGTTAACAGTTAAATATGACTAAAATCATATCCCTACTATTTCATTTGCTATATGACAATTGTGTGACAAAGTTTTAAAATAAAAAATGAATGATCAATTCTCTGATAAAATTATTTCATATCTGAGCTCTGATTTCATGTGGGATTTGATTTGAAAAAATCATTCACGGTACTTGCGGAGACCACGTGATGTTTGAATTATGGTCACTAACATTTTTCCGAAAATTGTGGAATGTTGAGATTCGATGCACTTGTTGTTTGCATGGTTTGTAAATATAAAAAAGACGGATTAAAGAAAATGAAGAAAACGAACAAAAATCAAAGTCGAGGCACGTAATACTTACGTTTTCTCTAAAACGTAATTGCCCCGTAAATTACACACGATTAACGTCAAACATCTCCAAGATACAACAACTTTCGACTTGTATATATATATATATATATATATATATATATATATATAAAATATAGCGGTACTTCAAATATACAAGAATTCGGCAAATACTACTATTGTTTGGAACTCTTATGACTCAATGAAAGAAAAATCAAAGAACATAATATGCTATAAGATCTTTTAAAAGCAATGCAAGCAGGAGTGGATCTAGCAAATATAATGAGAGGGGGCCTAATATTTAATGAAAAAAATATTATAAGAAAAAGTGCAAATACAAAAACATATCTTCATAGTTGTTATTTACGAGCTTTCATAGCCTGATAAGGTTGAGGCTTTCGTCATGGGAAAATGGTGATCAAACGGTTGACAAGGGCCGTTCTGCAAATATGCTCTTCGAACTTGGTCTATAACTGTACCTTGAGATTTGAACTCTCAATCCGGGATCAGAGGGAAATTGAGAAGAATCGAACTCCTCGATCACCATTAAATTTCCGGTCGTATTTTCTTTATGCCCAGTGATATCAGAATTTTCCTCAAATCCATTTGGATTCAAAGTATCTCATTTTGAGACATTTTCACACGCACTTTATTGACAAGGCCTTTTTTAATAATATCTCTCCATATCTGATATACAAATATAATTTATAAATTTACAATCAATAAAATTCTCTATTTTGACATGCTATAAGCACTTTAGGGATTGAATTTGCAATTTCTACACTCAAAAATATATATTTACCATTACCTAAAAAATAAAGTAGATTAATTTTTAACTCCACCAAAATATAAAGGGATTTCGTTACCTTGCAAGTCAGTCTTCTCGAACAATTGGACTAAAAATCGATAATCTCTTTCCCTCTTTTTTCTCTTACTCTATTTTTTTTTGTCTCTGCTTCTTTGTCTCTGCATTTGCGTGAAGTGCCCACTGCCCAGCCACACACTTTATTAAAGTTTTTTAATGCTAATTGTGTTGTTAAACCCTTTATTACATTACTACATTAGTTATTTGCGCATTAGGCTTTAATTTTAAAGGGCAAAGCCAATATAATATGGGTTGTGTATATAATCTTGTACTCACTCTAATGAATAACGAACACTGATACACAAAAAGCTGTTCAAATTGTTGACTCCTATTAGAATATAGTTTGTATTGGGCCATAATATTGTTTGTATCTTGGGCTGAAGATTAGTATTTTGGGCCTTAGCATTGTTTTTGGTTTGCATTATGTTTCAGCCCTTAGTATAAATAGGATAGCATTAGGGTTTTCTGTTCACTTTTTATCTCTTTACTTTCTCGGTCATCTCTCTCAAGATACCGAAGCTTTCCTCTCCATTCATCCTCTCTGTAAATCGTTCCTCAAGCTTTAATGAAGATTTGATGTTGTTTTTACTGCTTTTCTATTCTATTATGGTATCAGTTTTCGGGATCTACTCTCGATCCGCTTGATTTTCCGCTGCTACTTTACGTTTTTTTTTTTCGTTTGATTTCATACGATTTTTGCTTCGATTTCTTCGATTCAAGGTTTATTTCATTCTAATCTGTGTCGATCTGCTACTTTTCTTACGGATCTGCTCCGATTAGTTTGGATTTACTTGCATCGATTCTTTACTCTGTGCAAATTCGATCTGTTCTCGCTTCAGACGACGCTATGACTCACCCGACGGATGATCCTATTTCGCCGTACTTTCTACATGCTAGTGACAATCCCGGAGCCGTCATCGTTGCCGATTTGTTCACCGGAGACAATTATGTGGCCTGGTCCAGGGCTGTCACCATGGCT